AAACATTAAGAATTTGGTAGTAAATAGATTTCGTATTTAGTTAGCATTATATTTTATTGAAACGCTTCAAGTGCCAGTGCTAGTGTTAGCTAAGTGATGTGAGTTCGTTGGCAAGATAAATACGCACGAACAGCGCATGGGATCCAGCAGGGGTAGCATACGTTAACGTAACAGAGCTAGAGTAGCATACGTTAACGTAACAGAGCTAGAGTAGCATAAGTTAACGTAACAGAGCTAGAGTAGCATACGTTAACGTAACAGAGTTAGACTACTACCAACGACTGCACTGCACTACCAACGACTGCACTGCACTACCAACGACTGCACTGCACTACCGACGACTGCACTGCACTGCACCATCGAACACCGAACTCGAATCCCGGTAGTACATAATTCGCGCGCGCGCGACCGGAAGGGTTATATTCCGGCTTGATATCAGGCATTCGCAGTTCGATTAATAGAATTATCCCGCTCGGCGAGTAGCGAGATATTTCCGCCTGTGTGAACAAGGGCACAATTTTCTCGGTATTTCCGTCGCGATTAGCAGCGCGGTTTTTCTTGTGTGTGAACACGTTAAACGTGTTTCACGTTAAACAACTGCAGGGATAATGGTGACGCTGTTTCTGCCAGATTACATTCGGCATAATATGTAATAATAACATAAATTAGTAGTATGATGAGACTGCGTATTAGAGTATTGTGCATTACTTCATAACTGAGTACACGTTAATTGCTTCAGTCACTAAACCTCGCAAGCTGGCTGTGGAAATTACAGTTATATTATATACTAGCTGACTCTGCGAAATTTTACATTCCATAATCAAGCTATAATATCTGTTCAACAATAAAAATTGTTACCTCCACTGGTTCATGGTGTTTTCAGAAGCATTCGCATGCGTTATTGGCATATGAATTTGCTGCGCAGGCAATATACGCGCGGTTGTTTCTAAACGATTCGATCCGTTTGCGTCAGTGGTTACGGAACACGCGGCATGGGTACGCGGATGGTGTACAGGATAATTTTAGGTTAAAAACTTAAAATAATATCTATTTGCGACATCCAACTTCCTACATACGCGGAAAACGGCTAACTGACTATATAACTATCACACGTACTAGGCAACGTTTGGCAAAATGTGGTAACTAGGGATTATGAACTTGTGAGAGAAGAATGGCGTAGTTTACGAACATATATATAATAATAATTGTAAATAATCGAAAGTAACACTGTCATTTAACGTGTACAGAACCAAATGCGAGAAACCAAACTGATAAACTAGCTTGCGATTTAAAAATATATCCCTAAATGTGTATTTTAGAAATTCGTTAGATAATCGTTTGTTGCAGCATAATACATTATAAGCAACTAAAATTTTCCTACACCACATTTTCCTGTGCAATTTTGCAAAAAAAGATTACGAGCAGAAATCTGCCGATACGTTATGAAAACGGCGCAAATTCTAGTCGTTACAAGAGATTTATGTGGCGTAATTTCATGATTCGTAACTTTATAATCGGATGTTGCGAGAAACGCAACCATGGTACGTCACTATTAGTTCTGGCGTGTGGAAAATGGATGCAATTTCTACGCGTAACTCCCGATTTAATAGCTTGTGATAGTTTTATTGCTTCTAACTTTATGTCTAACTACTACACGTATTTTCGAACCTAAACCACCGAGGCTTGGGAATAATATTCCTTTTATGGTGCTATCGGGATGCTATATGTGTCAATCTGTTAGGGTCGTAATGCGAGGAAATTTCTATCTGTGCGTGTATATTGCGGTAGGGAATTTCGAGACCTAAATACCGGAAAGAAAATGCGATTTTTACGATTTGGAAAGACAACCCCCAATGCAGGATAATAATTAGCTAAGGGAGAGTCCTTGGCATGTCATAGGCGCTTCTAATTTTCTCTAAAATCTAGGAAGCAGCTGTCTCTTAGTCTTTGTACTCATTTAGAGGCTAATGTTTATTGGTCATGCTTTTTTTCATATCAAACTACTCGAGCGTACATCTCTAATCTGAAAAATTATTACGTCGACCAACTAATAATTCGTTTGGCAGATACTGGTAATTACTGATATAACTCGGTGTTACTGTATCGAATAATTCGTAATGTGTGGACGACTTATAATTATTCAGGTAAATAATTGGAATAGACATTTTATCAGGAGTGAATAACACAAATATCATTTGGTTGGCATTCGACGGTTAATACTTTTTTATTCACTCCTGATTTTATCATATCAAACTACTCGTAGTATGATGCTCGAGTATATGCTCTCTATTATCAGCCGTTGAATGCCAACCAAATGATATTCCGTCGAAGGGAGATCAAAATCTACCATTAACATTAAAGTCGGCATGCTTGTTAGTTAAATATTGCACAGCATCGGGCTTACGATATTCTATAATTAATTGAGCATCAGCATAGCATACAGATAAAACTAAGTGAAAGTAAAAATATATATCTGCCGCTACTAACTGGTCCAGCTGTGTTCCATCGTTCATTCTACCCATGGCGAGAATTTCTAAAACTTCTTCGTATTTTGTGATTGGGTTCTTGAGATCGACAAGATTGCGTTCGTACTCAATCCACAGCTGTTCCTGATCCTATAAAGTGACAATTGCCATCAAATTTTCCAAAACAAGACACACACACACGCGCGCGCACACATACACACACACACACACACACACACACACACACGCACACACACACGCGCGCATGCACACACACACATGCACGCGCGCGCACGCACGCATGCACGACGCATGCACATGCACACGCGCGCACGCACGCACGCACGACGCATGCA